ACCTGAGTTGTAAACCGTACTAGGCAAGTCCAGTGCGACGAGCTGTGATTGAGGAAGCTGCTCGTGAGGAGAATTGATCCTAGGTCTCCCATGTGGGAAATCGCTCGTCCAACCAATTCAGTCAACCCTGTAGGTGGCCAGTGAGTTCTTGATATCCAATATTCAGGATGGACATGATTCTAAGTTTTTGAACATGCTTTAGAATTGGGGTTGAATATAATTATATTGAATGTGACAGCTCCAAATTAGGGCTTTATCACTTTAAATTTCAATGTATGTATAACATGTAACATGGGTATACATGTGGTAAGTTGGTCAGTGCATTAAGAATATTGAAAGACACCCAACCTTCAACCCTACAACTACAAAGTAATATATCAAATTGAGGCAAAATTAAAGAATAGGTCACATGCTCTTGGGGTCCATCCTCACATGCATAGCTTTGTGAGTTTAATTCCTCCCCAGAATCATATTGTGAAACTGAGACTCTTTACCTCATTGTCCCATCAAAGTCATTGTAGCAATATGTTAGGTACACCACCATCACTTATGTTCTATTCATACAACAATTTTGAACTTTGTTTCTTGTTACTGGTGTTGAATTCTATAGGTGTAGAAGAGGAAGGTTTTCTTTCTGATAATTTGTACTATTAGGTGTATTTGAGGTGCAATGCTCGATAGGAGTCTTTTAGTCTAGTCAGAATTTATATGATCGTAAAAAATATGAAGCATTTTTAGTGTTAAAGAAACTTTGATCGTTTATATAATATTGAATTGACATAGTGTAAATGAAATGGTAAAGATTCATACAGCCAACTCTAATTTCCTGGGGATTGAGGTCAGTAGTAGTAGTTGTTGTCCAAACAAGGATAATTGGACTACTTTTCCACAAATTATTAAGTGGAGGATTTCTTTTCCTCAAGGATAAAAAGATATTTGTCAAGAAGTGTATACTACCATTGGAGGGGTGGTTTTCTGGCAATCCGTGGGAATTCACATTGCCTTTTACGGCTTGAAATTCCTATTATATAGAATTCTTTTTTTGAATTCAAAAATTCTCCGTCTTTTCTCAGCTTGACACCTACTTTAGAACCATACGACAAAGCTCGAACCTTACTTCATTGTATTAGAATTTTATTCTGCTTATTCTGTCTTGAACACTGACTCCTATTCATATAAGATATTCTATCTTAACTGACTCGTGAGCAACGGCGATCATAGAAGATAAGAAAATGCCCGACTGAAGTCAAAGACAGGTAAGGGGATAAGAAGATCAGTTACATTTTTGTTTCGTTCTTTAGAATAAGTTTCAGCTTTATTTTTCAGAGATAATGCCATGAAATTTGTCAGTGCGTCTCTCATCCCAAATGACATGGTTTCATCTCCTCTTTATAAAACAAGAGGAAGGGAATTTAAGCTCTTTATAATTCTATTTAGTTTTAATCCTCGAGCTTTACCAAATTTTATAAAGAGAAAAAAAGAAGGAATCCCATGTGACAAATTTTTTTTCATCATTATGATAATAGATTATGCTTAAGTGGAGTTGATTTATTCATGACAAACCATTAGGCAAGTAAATCTCCAAAGTTTTAACGGTATCATGACTTCAAGAGACAGACTCATCATTAAAGTTAGTTTTGCATCTTAAGCACATGCTACCATTATGGCAACTACCAGCAGGATGAAAAGCAAAACTTGGACAAGTGTAATTGATATCAAATTATAGTATTGATTTAACACAACCAAGATGATATTAATGTTTCTGTTGACAATGACAAAGCAAAAAAGTAAAAGGTAACATAAAGGTAGTAACTTTGCATCATTTCAAACAAAAAGTTTCTTTTTTCTTACCCTTCCAATAACAGTTTTTGACATTCACGCTATATAGCTTGTATGACTCAAGAAAGCTAAAAAAAACTTACAAAATCATTCACTCCTATAATAAAGAAAAGGCAAAAACACAATAGCCAAAGCACAATATGCAGACTAAAGACTCAAGACACAAAGATAGAGTGGGGGTGGTTGACAAATGGTGGTTAGAAGAAACCAATGGATGAAGAGACTGAGAACTCTTGAGATTGGAAAAATAAAACAAGAAACGGGGCATGGACAACGCTTCTGCACCTGCTTCAAGAACAGACATTGGGCTTTTCTTGAAGTGAAATCAGGCCGAGGTTGCACAACGCTTTTAGACAGGAACTGAAATTGACAGTGTAAAAAAAGTACACTTGCCAAGGAGGAACTGAATAGATGATTAATGGACAGATTGACAAACAATGGGATATAACTTTGATTTGGGAAGAACTTTAGGGAAGTGCTTTTTAGTAGTAAGAATGGGAATCTAATACTTAGTAGAAAAAAGAAAAGAAAAAGGGACACTTTCTTTTGGAAAATCGGTATAAATGATAGAGGTAAAGCTGGCTGTACTAGCACATGCGGCTTCTGCGGCAAGCAAGGGGACCAGCACCTGAAGTTATGGCGCCCACCATAGAAGAGGATTTGGCACCTAAGCTTGAAGCTCTTGCATAGCTTGCTGAAGCTCCAGCTCCTGATGGAGTGAAATAGGCACCATTAAGCATCAAGTCTCCCTCTGATCTCCAGTTCCAACCCTTCCACTGACCTGCTGCTGTGTCAACCCTTTTTGTTACCTGTGTGTTTCAACAATTTCAATCAAATTAGTTAATTCACAACAATTGATGAAGTATTAGAAATTACTACAGTTTTTGGCTTTTAATTACCTCCTTTGCAAAAGGATTAGTTGGGGCAAGGTATCTGTTTCCTTGGCTGTTGATGGTGGGGTTAGCACTTCCACCAATAGCATACATCTCCCAGTGAGTGTAGTCATTGTTCACCACATGGAAGTAGCCATGTCTGCACCTGCAATTTTTCACAAACACTCACGTCATTAAAAACGTTTTCAAAGGTAATTATGATCTGTTTAAAGACTGAAACACACCAGAAAAGACCGGAATGGTTATAGGATTTATACAAACAACCCCATCTTGTTTTGATTGAGGTATAGTTGATTGATCAATAAATATTGTAAGGAATGATAGTCATGGTTTCTTCAAATAATAAGATTGTTTAAAGCTTAGGGCAAGTTCCAAGGGTAGACAATTACCTTGGCATTCTTTGAATGAGACCCTCTCCAAAGTGGTTATAGGCAATTGTCACTTGCATCTGCTTGTCTCTAGTGTAGGAGTCACTGTGGCCCAATAGCATGACCTGTTTGCATTAACACAAATAGCCCCTGAAGTTAGTTCGATGGCTATGGACAGCAGAGAAAGAAAAATCTAAAAGTAGTTTCAAAGAATTAAAAGCACCTCATTATGATGAGCAAAATGATTGTTAGAAATAGTAATGGCAGTTGAGCCCATAACAGCATCAACAAGACCATCAGCACAGTGAGAGAGTGAGTTATGATCAATCCATATGTGGCTTGAGCCAAAGATAGAAACGGCATCACCATCAGCCATTGTCCTCCAGCCGAAATGGGACGGTGAGCTCCTCACCATAGCATTACCCGTTGGCTTACAATCATGAATGTGAAGGCCATGGATAATAATATTGGTAACAAACTGGATAGTGATACAAGCACCATTGGCAATATGAACATTGTAGCCACGGGCATCAATGGTCTTGAAACTGTTCATAATGAGCTCCTGTTTCAATTGTATGACCATGTCACGCTTGAAAACAATCCATAGAGGCTCCTCCTGGATAACAGCATGGCGAAGGGTACCGGGCCTGGGGTTAACAGGGTCATCGTCGCGCGAATCAGTGACGACATAGTAACGACCATCACGACCACCAATGGCATTGCGCCCAAATCCAATGCCACAATCAGCAAGGCGCTTGCGGTTCTTTTGCCAATTGCGGTCACAACGCCAGCAGTCATCAATTGGATTTCCCGTCCCACATGAGAAATATCCAAGTTTTCGCCTCTCAGTACTGTTCCTAATGCTCCTGTTAATTAGCACCCCAACCGTAGCTATTTAACATAAAGAAATGTTTCATATACTGCAAACGATCATTTTCAGGCATTGAAGAGTAAATTCATCAAATAGTATCCATAGGAACATGTCACTTTCTATTCTTTTTAAGTAAATTATTGTGTCTAAAGAACAGGGGATTTAATTTTTTCCTAGGAATGGAAATACGAAGGTCAAAATCAAATACTGGTGCTGGTTACTTTTTTAGAGTGTCGGTGGAAATAACAAGCTAGGTACATATATTTTTTCTCGCAACACTATACGGTTAGAAGCGTAGGGACCATAAATTTGGAGCCACGGAAAATGCATTAAAGTATTTTGTCAGTACACAAAACCTAATTTGGTCTTTTCCAGTTTGGTTTGGTGTGTTTTGGGCTAGTACAAGCAGCGAACAATAATATTGGAGGCACTATTATAATCTTAAAAAGGATATAAACAAGGGCGTTGCTGTCACGTGAAAAAAGATAACGAGTCGTGAAAAAAGAACAGTATAATCTCAGTGTCTATTGTCCAATTATATTTTCGTAGCACGCACCGTTCAGTTTGCTCTGTCATTCTGATATATTTTCTTGCATGCACATGCACTATTGAAAACTGTCACAACTCCATGTGTAACCAGTCAATTAATAACTTTACAGATTGTAAATAACAATATCAACGCACACACCTTTTCCTTTTCTCTAAATGACAAAATAGAAGATAAGTAGTGAATAATACTAAAATATAAGGGGGATTGCAAAAATATCCTATTGGATGTGTTAAAGATATAATCATTTAATTGACTTCCCCATATAAAGTTATCTACTCCTGAGATATTATTGTCAATTAAATATTTTTAATTCAAAAAAAGGATAAGGAGACAGTACAGATCCGACTATAATTAGATAACATAATACAGCTAGGGGTCTCTACACTTTTAATACTGGCAATGTCTAAGTATTTAATACTTTATCAAACAAGAACTGGAAGTACTGTTCTTAATTGCTCAATGTCAGATGCTTCACTCTTTATGGATCATTTTAACTTAAAAGCAAGTGCTTAAAAACAGTTTTTTACTTTATACAAACACTACAAAATAGCTTAAAAGCTATTTTGGCTTAAAAACACTTAAAAGAAGTCAATTCAAACGGGCTCAATATTGCTCCAACAATATCAAACCCCCAACCCAAAGGGGGTACTGAGTAGGTCTGCCATAGAGGAGTCGTTAAAAGGACCACAAAAAAGAACTACTCATAACAACCAAAACCCGATGTGAATTAATGAAAAGTTGCAAAGAATTAAAACTAGGAACAAGAAGCAAAAAAAAAAAGCCAATTATTATTATAGGAATAAAAGGAAAGGTGACCCACTCTGCAACCATGGACACAACTTCTTCTGGATCATCCACTGCATGTTTGCTTAATTTCTCTTCAATCTCTTCCAAACTGATAAATAAAAACAAAACAAAAAAAATCATCAACCAAACAACCCTAACAAGGGCAAATATGGAAATACAGGTAAAACATAGGCAACCGACATTTATCCACTATTTCACGCATCAAAAAGTGGGGTGACACAAAGTACACTGTAAAGATACACACACTACACACTATAGTGCGTGGTTTTTTGTACACTGCTCAAGGTGCGAAAATGCCTATGCATACACACGCTATACGTATGCATAATAAAACCGTCAAAAAGTGCAACTAGAATCTGCGAGGTGTAGCGAATCGTTAAGAAGGAATTAAAATGACAAAAATGCATATACACGTGGATTTAACTGCTACGAGACCTGTAAATTAGTGGGAAAGGGAAGGGGTAGTTATGGGAATGTACGTCAGGGAGAGGCAGTTAAAGGACCAATGAAGATTTTCTGGTAACAAAGCAGAGGAATCCAATGAGAGACAGTAAAATGAACGTTTAACCGATTAAACAGTTCAGATCTAATGGAATAAAGATATCTCAACGGCTCAGATTGTTCCTTCTACCAGATTGTTGGATCGGAACAGTGAGTCTATTAAGGACACCCAACGGTGAATAAATGATTCGTTTTTGGAACCAAAAACCGACGGCAGATATATACTGAGTGAGTCAACTCGTTGAGTTAATTAGTTTCTGCTTACTGCTTACCTCACCGCCATTGTTGAGTTTTCAGAGCTCTTCAACTGCACTTTTTCCACTGTCCTGTAAAACTCAAAATGTAGCATTTTAGGTTTTTTTTAAACATTAAAAAGTAAAATGCATATAATTTTCTTCCCGGAAAAAGCTAGAATTATAATTTCTGTGTGAAATGCAGAAGTTAAGGAACAGTTCAAAACCCTATAATTTAAGCTTTTTTGGTTAATTCTGAGAAAATCCTTTTGGAACTAAAACTTCTCAGAATTCTGCAACAACAGAGTTTCTAGAAGTGTCTAAGGGAAAACATTATGGAAAATATCACAAAATGAAGAAATTACGGGAATTAAAAGGAGAGTCGAACGAAGTAGAATTCGACCAACTCGTAAGAAATCAGTAAAACAAAACAAAGCATGGAAAAAAATGTAACACAAATTTTGATAGTATTTTCGAAAATGCAGATGAATTTTTAACCAGAGAAGCAAAAAAAAAGTACGTTGAATTTGTGTAATTTTACCATAACTTCACAGTTAAAACGCTGTAATGAAAAAGTAATGTAGATGCTTTTTAGAGTTAAACAGAGAGAGAAAAATTCGACGGACCTGACATCGGAACTGTCGGTAGTCTGAACACCGGCGTAAACTCCGACGAGCAGCAAAAGAAGAAGCAGAGAACTGAGACTAAATGAAAGCCACTTCTTCAAAAGCAACAAACTCATTGCCATTTTCCACTAGGCACTTTTTCTCTTTCTCTCACTACAATGGGATCGGAAAAAGAAACAGAGCAAAGCAGAGGAAGAAGAAGAGAGAGAGAGAGTCAGAGAAGAAGGTGCACTGCGCCCAACGTAACGGCCTGGGTGTCGGTTTATATAGACCTTGTTAATCAGAAAACGTTAAGTTTAACGGCCGTTTATCAACTAAATCCCAAAAGGTCTATTATCCCCTATTGTTTTAACTATGGTTAGTGGTTTAGGTTAGTTTTTGTCCTCAGGTTAATTTTTGTTCACTTCTTTTTTTAACCTAACCACCTTAGTAACCGCCAGTAACCGCTTTAAGTTAGGATTCCTTTTTTCCACTTTAATGCTACCACTAGGAGTTAGTAAACTTATGATCCCTTTATGATTTTATCTAATAGCAATCCTTAGTTCTTTATCTGAAAATTGATACTAAGTAAATTTATTTCATGATTTATTTAATTGTAAGTTACTCTTAGATTTAATGTTAAAATTATGAGATAATACACGGAACATTATAAGTCTATTAAACTTGTAATTATCACAATATATTAGCTTGTCAAACGCATGGTCAGAATATATAAATTAATAAGATTATAAAGTAATTTTGTAAATTATTGCATTAGTATCATATCTTAACATTAGAAAACTTATTTTTTTCAAAAAAAGAAGAAAATTAGCAGCCATGTTACGAGTTTGAATTTTAATGATCTGTATGTAATTTAGCTTTTTTCCTACCCATTATGAAAAATACTCAATTATCATATCCAAATATTTGTCGCTCCCTAATATTACTATTTGATGCTACTTTTTCTCCTCTTTGCTTATCGTCTCCTCCCCCCCCCCCCCCCTCTCTTTCCTTTTCTTCTCCCCTATTCTTCATTTCCACCTTTTTTTGAGCCGAGTGTCTTGTTTGCAACAAATTATTTGTGATACAAAAATAAATCGTAACCACAATATAAATATGAAGAAATACAATTTTATTGATAAACAATGCGGGTACAATTCTGTTTAGCCCTTGATTTTTCCCTCCGCTTTATTCTACGTGATTCGAGGGTCTTAGCGGCGTATTTCTCGAACGTAGGACTTTAAGCAAGACATATTTGACATGTCTTTGATCTCTTAATGAATATCCTAAGAGTTTCATGGAATGTCGGAGATCTCATATTTGATCTTTGTGCATATTCCGAGAGTTTATGAAATTGCTGAAATTGTCTTTGAAGAACATATATAGCCTTATTTATTGGCATGAATCAGGGTTTGGGTAGAGTAGCCATCAAGTAACCCTAATAGATTCATAATATTTCAAGAGTTGTCTTGAATATAGGATTTATCTTGATCTGTTAAAATTTCAGTGTCTACAAAGCCCCCTACTTCAAGGTTTGTCGAGGTGTAGATTTGCTGAAACTTGAAGACGAGACTTGAAGTACCCGACCATCACAACAGATAATTTTGAAACTTGGAGTTTTCGATTTACAGGAGGAAGAGATGAAGGGCAGAACTGGTCCCACTGGGTATGCCAATTTGTTTGCTACAAATTATTTGTGATACAAAAATAAATCGTAACTACAATATAAATATGAAAAAACACAATTTTATTGATAAGCAATGCGAGTACAATTCTGTTATCCCTTGATTCCTCCCTCCGCTTTATTCTACGTGATTCGAGGGCCTTAGCAACGTATTTCTCGAACGTAGGACTTTAAGCAAGACATATTTGACATGTCTTTGATCTCTTAATGAATATCCCAAGAGTTTTATGGAATGTCGGATATCTCATATTTGATCTCTTTATGCATATTTCGAGAGTTTATGGAATTGTTGAGATTGTCTTTGAAGAACATATATAGCCTTATTTATAGGCATGAATCAGGGTTTGGGTGGAGTAGCCACAAAGTAACCCTAATAGACTCCTAATATTTCAAAAGTTGTCTTGAATATAGGATTTAATTTCAGTGTCTACAGGTCTATTGGAAACAATCTCTCTACCTCTCCATATAGGGGTAAGTAGGTATATTGTTATTATTGTTGTTGTTGTTGTCATATCCAGATCTAATAAATAAATGTAGAATATTTATCTTTTATGTAAGCTTTATCATTTAAGCGTGATTAAGTGAGATGTAATTTTCACCTTAATTTGTGATTTTTATAGTTAAATTATTTGATTTGTAAGATAAATATTGTCCCCTGTCGGCTATAATAAAAAGGTATTAAGGTAATACCACAATGAAACTCTCCCTTATTGAAAAATAAGAGAAATTTTCACAAACCATTAGTGGTTATTAGCTAGTTGTAGCTACTATTTACTATATTACTTTCTATAGCTATGTTTTCAGGTTTTTTAGAGTGTATTCGATGTATTTAAGCTACTGTATTCATGAATACAATAGCATTTCTCGGCGTGAAGCAGAGGATTATAGCTAGACAGATTATTGTATTCGACTGTATTCACGGCATGAAATAGGGGATTATATCTAGACAGATTATTGTATTCGACTGTATTCATGATATGTAATTGTGAATACAGTAATGTAAATAGAGCAATTCATGGCCTATTCAGCTGTTTTTAAACGGAAAGCGAATCAATTAACATAATAGACTTCTAATATAACTCAAACTGTTATGAAACAATAAAAGAAGAGGAGGAGTATTGGAGAGAAAAGTAGAGAGAGAGAATTCTTATTGATTTTGGGATGAATTACAATGGAATAGAACCTTCTATTTATAGGGAGAGGTTGACTTAGCCACCAAGTAATAAACCCTAAAATCTTTCTAAATATGGACATTCACCATAAATAGAATTCTATTTATAACACTACTCTTTGAATGTCTACTCGATAAGTAATGTGCCTCATTAAAACTTAACTAAAATAAAACCCAGTGGGAAAAAATTTCTAGAAAAGGAAAAAGAGTACACATCTCTAATAATACGCCTTTTGGTTGCCTCGTTAAAAACCTTTCAAGGAAAACCCAGTGAGACAACACCTTGTAAGGAAAAAAGAGTGCAACGCGCATTAACTCCCTCTGATGAGAGCATCAATTCACTTCCTTGAGCCCTCGCATCCCGATCTTGTACACTAGCTTCTTGAAGGTTGACGTTGGTAGAGATTTTGTGAACAAATCAGCCATATTATCACTTGAACGAATCTGTTGCACATTGATATTACCATTCTTTTGAAGATCATGTGTGAAAAATAACTTTGGTGAAATGTGCTTTGTCCTATCTCATTTTATGAATCCTCCCTTCAATTGGGCTATGCATGCTGCATTGTCTTCATACAAAATCGTGGGTAGTTTGTCACATTTCAAACCACATTTGTCTCGAATAAGATGTATTATAGACCTCAACCACACACACTCTCGACTTGCTTCATGAATAGCAATTATCCCAGCATGATTAGATGAAGTAGCCACAATTGATTGATTAGTCGATCGCCAAGATATGACAGTGCCTCCACAGGTAAACACATAACCTGTTTGAGATTGAGCCTTATGTATATCGGATAAATACCCAGCATCAGCATAACCAACAAGATCAGGACTGCAATTATTGCCATAAAATAAGCCCATATCGGTAGTCTCTTTTAGATACC